CTTTTTTGTTAGTTTAAAATGCATAATTTGTTTGATAATACTGTGCACAAGCCTGAATTATATACATTTTTGTAATATAAATATTTTAACACTTTACTTTTGTTTATATTTATTTGTTTCATCTATGTTAATACTTAAGATCTTTTATTTATAAATGTTTATTTCTTCAGTCATAGTTTGATAAAAATTTTGCATAAATTGTAAATGTATGAAGGTTGGAGGTATAATTTATGTATAAGCTTTGAGATTTATGCATGGGGTTCAATTCCTGGCAGGGGCAAGAGATTGTTATAATCACAGCATCCAGACTGGCTTGGGGGACCCACCCAGCATCCTATCCAGTGGGTACTGTGGTTCTCTTCCTTTGAGGTAAAGCAGGAAGTAGTGAAGCTAACCACTTACCCCCATCTGGTGCCAAGGATAAGAATGCATGGAGCTACACCTCTCCTTCCAGCATATGTCTTTATGGCATGGTGCTTAATTAAGTGTAGGGACAACTTTACCCTCACTTTGTACTGTGCTTTATTTAAAGTGTTTTACTCTTAGGTGATGCACAACAGGCTGGAGATTGGCACAATAAAAGGTCCGGTTTGGCCTACCCATTATTCGTTCATTTGTACCTCTACATTTACCTTAAGTATTTCCACTGATCTGTTCTTTCTCACACTTTGGTTCATTTTAGCACTAAATAGAACTAGTTGAACAGTTCAGGTTTTAAATCAGCGGCACTTTTTGCAGAGGCATAGTAGCAAACCCATTTTTCATTATTAGTATTTATTTGAACATACACAGTAATTTTCAGAATACTTGTTGTCATCTGACCTGGTGATCTGCAGGTAACTTGCTGACTTTCCTTGCAAGGGCTCCCTGGTTCATCCTGCTAGTAGTAATAGGCTTATCTCAAAGATTAAGCCATGCATGTCTCAGTGCAAGCCACATTCAGGTGAAACTACAAATGGTTCTTTAAATCAAGTAAGAGCTCTTTGGCTTGAAACTAACAGAATTCATTCCTGATTTTCGATTTTTCCCATTCTTTTTTTGTGATGAAGTTCAAACATCCATGACTTTACACAGTGGGTCATAATCCTCTATGCTCCTTTGTCAGAGGAACAAAATGGAAGTTCTGACTATTGGGGTGTTATATAGAAACTGTTCATTCTATCTTTCCCCAGGCTAGGTGATGAGGCCACTGTGGTCAAAGACCATACTTGAAGGCATACTTCAAATTGCTAGTTATGAGTTTCAAGAATGGTTTGGGCTTGAATATGTGATTCTTGGTTTCTCAAGGCAGGGGCTATGAAAATTATTCCCTTGATATTTCAGAGGAACATGTTTCTTCATCCTCAGGATGGAAGATGGAAGTAGCAGGTTCTTCTGAAATGCTGGTAAATTTTTCCACATTTCACAGTATCATATACCAGAAGATAGAAATCTTCAAGCTTTGAATAGTATGTGTGATTTTCCTATAGGTATTGTATTACTAAATCTTACTCTTTGCAAGGCCCCATAAACAGGCATCCAGAGAATGAGGAGAGTGGGATGAGTTAGTGACCTATGAGTGCCTGTTGCAAGAGCCGTGATAGCGCAGTCAGTATAGCAACTGGCTATGGGGTGGGTGACTGAGGGATTGGAGTTCAAGTCCCAGTAGGGCCAAGAACTTTCACTTCTCCATGCTGTCCAGACCAGTTTTGGGGCCAGCTCAGCCTCCTATCCAATGGGTACTGGGGGCTCTTTCCCTGGGATAAAGTGCCCAGGTCAAGGAAACGTGTGTCTATACATCCACTTCCCCATCTTCATGGCATAGTGCTTAAGTAGTTGAGCACAGGGACAACTTTACCTTTACAAGTGCCTGTTGTAGTGTCCAGGATTCACATACTCGTATTTACTATAGCACCATTATGTTGTTGCCACTGCAAGAGAAGGGCAGTGGGTAGCATAGTTGAAGTACTATGCTATGACATAAATGAGAGCCAGAAATCTTGAGGGTAAAGGGCTGCTGGCACACAAGGCTGACAACCTCACCACCGTCTGTGAACTTACTGTCTAGAAAATGTGGGAGCCTGACAGGCTGACAGTGACTCAGTATAGTGCTGATACTGGCGTCATCATAAAATAACCCACTGAAGAACTTGACTCACTTTGCTTTACATAGTCTGTGATAAGTGTAACAAATCAAAATCTGATCCAGGAGGAGATTGAGCTCGGGTAATTCTTGCTACCATTCAGTCCAGAACCTTTTGTCTTCTCATCTACTGTCTAAAAAAACAAGATTACAATTTAGAAAACTATAATTTTGCCTGTGGTTCTGTATGAGTGTGAAGCTTTGCCTCTGACATTAAGGGAGAAACATAGACTAAGGATGTTTGAGCATGTGGTGTTGAGAATATTTGGACCGAAAAGAGATGACGGAAGGTTGGAGAAAACTGCATAATGACGAGCTTCATAACTTGTACTCTTCTCTAAGTATAATTAGAATTATCAAGTCAAGGAGATGAGATGGGCAGGGTATGTAACATGAATGGGAGAGAAGAGGATGCATTGGTGGGAAAGCCAGAAGGAAAGAGACCACTGGAAAGATGACATAGGTGGGTGAACAATATTAAAATGGAGCTTAGAGAGACAGGATGGGATTGGCTCAGGGTATGGACCAGTGGAGGGCTGTTGTGAACAGGGTGATGAACCTTCGGGTTCCATAAAATGCTGGGAAGTTCTTGAGTAGCTGCATAACTGGCAGCTTCTCAAGATGGTGCTTAGCTCCGTGAGTGAGCATGTGAGTGAGTCTGTGATAAGTTGGACCAGGAAACAGGACTATGATGATAGCCCTCGTTAGTAGGTGTTGGATGTTATTGTCTGTGCCAATAAAATATCACTCCTGAATGATGCAGAGCGAAAGAGAATACCGGTCAGGTGTGTCATGTTACCTTCTTAGTCCTCCATTAGAAATTAATGCTTCAGTCCTTTTGGCTGAAGACGGACTGGTGGTTCTGGGTGGCTACAGTCTCAAGGGACAGCTCACTGGTTCCGACTGGCTGCAGTTGTCAAGAGACAGATCGGTGGTTCTCACTTGCTGCAATTCTCAAGAGATAGCTCAGTGGTTCTGACAGGCTGCAGTTCTCAAGCAACAGACCAGTGGTTCTGACTGGCGGCAGCTATGAGGAGACGCTCCATCACTTTACCATAGCATCTGCTGTACCAACAAATGGGCATCATGTCTTGATCGCCAGAATACTGTGAAAGGCCATGATCCTGTATATGTTTGATTCTCAGAATGTTACTTTTTATGCCTTAATAAATATTTTTATGGACTAAAAAAAGGTAAAGCTATCCCTATAAAACTCCATGCAGGCCCCAAGTGTTGTGAAATGTTGAGGATCCCACATTTTCTAGACAATCAGCTCACAGATGGCAGTGAGGTTGTCAGACTTACACGCTGGTCGCCTGGTACTCATTTCTGTTATGAAGCTGAGTCGAACCCAGGGCCATAGTGCAGCTGGAAGGATTAGGTCATAATTGGCATATAATTGTTTGCTGTCGTTCTTGATGACTTCCATAAACAGGAAGGATTAGGAGTTTATGGAATCTGACTGTTATGGGTTATACCAATTCTTTTGCTGTTTATATTAACTTCCGGCTTTGTAATTCCATGTCAGTTTTCTTCCCCCCCTCCAATGATAGCACCATACTACCCCCACCTTTCACACACAAATGGATTCCATTTCTGATAATGGAATCCTGATAAGGTCCCCAGTTATCCTGAGATCTAAAAGGCTAGATTGAGGTATCTCGTGGCTTTCCTTAGTGCTGCCAAATGAAGGCCGGGGTATTACTTCAATTAGGCCACAAAAGCTTCCTTCCAAATCATTTCCTGTTAGAGATCACCTATCATCCTACCATTTGATGCTATTGAGTTTAGCAACTGACAGCGTCGTAAATAATCCACAAAAAAGACAGCCACAGCCCAATAAGAAGTCATGTTTTGGTTAAGTATAGGCTCTATAAACATGATGTGCTTTCGCATTGCTAACGTTGTAATAGATGCAACCAGACTGTATAGCTGTTTGATGACTTGTCACAATGGTGGAACAATGTTGTTATTTACTGTACACAATGCTTCCTCAACTGTGTCGCTACCTACTTGAATGGTGGTCATAATAATTCTCAATAACTATCTAAAACTTAGTTCTATCCACTCAGAGTCATAGCAAGTCAGTAAGCCACCAAAGTTTAATATAAGAGCTTTGAGAAACTGTAGCTATAGCTGATGAAATATTTCATGAGCGTTTTCATGATTCTATAAGGTTGATTTGAAGCTTACTATAGGGGTACAAAAGTTGTAAAGCTATTTAGGTTCCTGCTGTCACCTTACAGTCTGATAGGGACCTGCAACAGTGTGCAGAACTGCAATTTTCGTGACTGTACAGGAACATTCTATAGCTTACTGTAGGTGTAGAGAGGCTGTAAAGTTCTTTAGGTCCTGTTGTCACCCTACAACCTGATAGGGACCTACAGCAGTGTGCAGATCTGCACTTTTTGTGACTGCAGGGACATTTTTTAGCTTACTGTAGGTGTAGAAGGGCTGTAAAGTTATTTAGGTTCCTGCTGTCACCGTACAGTCTGATAGGGACATGCAACAGTGTGCAGAACTGCAATTTTCGTGACTGTACAGGAACATTCTATAGCTTACTGTACGTGTGGGGAGGCTGGAAAGCTATTTAGGTTCCTGTTAACACCGTACAGTCTGATAGGGACCTGCAGCAGTGTGCAGAACTGCAATTTTCGTGACTGTACAGGAACATTCTATAGCTTACTGTAGGTGTAGAAAGGCTGTAAAGTTATTTAGGTTCCTGCTGTCACCACCTGTGCTGACAGACCTGCAGCAATGTGCAGAATTGCACTTTTCATGACTATACAGGAATATTTTATTGCTTACTATAGGTGTAGACAGGTTATAAAGCTATTTAATGGAGTTACATAATATATTTATTTCTTAAGTTGGCAGGTACAAATTTTTCAGTCACTTATATTGCACAGCAAGATATGTGTAAAAACATATTCAAAGCACAGTATTACATTGAACAGTTTAATATGTGGCTAAACAGTCCTATTGAGACAAAAATATGAAGTGTAACTGAGAATGGTCAGCTACAAGCTTGTCCAAAAATACAGTTTCCTTCATTCCAGAAAATGTATACGTTGAACCTTTCCAATTTGTAACATTTAATAATTATACATATTACTTAAAAAGAAATGGTGGGATTCCATTTGCTTCTAAAGGCTGCGGCTTGAAATGCGATGTGGGTTTACATAATATATATATATATATTTTTTTAACTTGGCAGGTATTCAACTTTCAGTCAGTCATGTTGCACAGCGGGATATGTGAGCAATATTTGAAACACAAAATTTCCCTCCACCATGCAACATTCTATATACTACAACTTTGAACAAAACATTAAGTAACAACGATTAATGCACTTTAACAGACAATAGTTTGAAAGTGTAGGGCAAGTTCTTGACTTTGATTCAGGTTGGTTGACTATTTCTGCGCTTTATTGGCTCAAGCGGTGTGTAGCGACTAGATATGTGTATTGTTGGGGCTATGGGCAAGGGATTAGTGGCATCAGGGCATCGTGTGAGCCTGATAACAGGGCGTCCATCAACTGGGGGCTCCTCCAAGATCAGTTGTTCTTCCAAGCTTGGACGTCGCCATTTTGGCGTGGGGCTCCCCACTTCCGCTCGACAGTCAACCTGTGAAAATTATATTCTTTCTAAAGACAGATCTTTCCTTTGCGAAGAGAAAAATTAATTTAATAGGATTTATTACTTGTATTTTCAGTTGAAAAAAAGGTGAAGCTGTTCCTGTAACAGGCCTTGGAGGCCCGTAGGGCTGTGACATGTCGAGGTTCCCACATCTAAATAAGTGGCTCACAGATGGCAGTGAGGTCGTCAGCCTTTACCTCTAGGAAGATTTCTGGTACTCATTTCTGTTAGAGGCTGTCAACCCCAGGGCCATAGTGCAGTTGGAAGGATTAGGTCAGTTGAAAAATCCAATGACCTTTTCAGGAATTGGCCCTGTGCCCTTCCAGCTTGTAGCATAGATCCTCAAGTTATGCAAGCTATATTTTCTATAAGGTTAGAAAAAATTTATTGAAGATTTTCGAAGATTCGAAGCTTTCACAGTAATTGCATGCAGTGAGGTTTACTTGGGCAGTTGGCCATGTAATAACATAATTAATAACCAGAGTTCCAGAGACTGCCTCTTGTCTCCGTCATCAGGGATTAATGTGATTGTCTTGAGAAACCTTATTGGTAGCAGACTGTAACAGCATATATCAAGAAATAAATTGCTAACATAAACACTGAAGTACTCAAATTATAAAATGAGTGTTTACTAAATTAATGCTTGTTCAACTTTCACATATAGTATACATTTGCTAAATATGTTTCATTACTTAGCAGAGCAAGCAGATAAATGTCTGTGCATTCACTCTGGATGTGATTTATAATATTGCTTTTGCACATCAGAGATAATACAAAATCTACTTACAGAGTTTCTTCTCTTCTCAAGTGGTGGCAACATATGGGGTTTCTTTCTCTGTCGCAATACTGGTTGAGTTGTTGATAATGTCGAGGTGCCTGGTGAGGAGGGTGTATCTTTCATCTCTTCAGAGGAAATGTTGGCTCTAAAACAGTTTTGGAAAAATAGATACGGGGTTCAAAACTACGTGCTTATATTCCCCATGTAGGCAACAACAAAAGGGAGAAACCACAGATCTGATAATTTCCCCCTTCCATTGGTTTTTGAAGGTCAAAAATAGTTCCCCCCCCCAAAAAAAATCGATAGGGTAAGTTTCAATCTTGATTAGACCTAGAGAAAGTTGGGTAAAATCTTGTAATGATATAAATTGTAGTCCATATCATGAAGAACAAATTGTTTTCTTTATTGGAGTCTCTAGCATCAATACTTATCGAGATATAGAAGATAACGCAAACCTCCATTTCAGCCGAAAACGCGTTTTTTCGCAATATAAAAACGGCTGCACCGGGAGAACCGAGCGGATTAAACATTTTTTTTTAAATATTTTTGAAGTATGAAAATATGTAGAAATAAGTGTACAAAATATATTTTTTTAATGGTCGAGCGACTTATCTGGATGATTTCACGTGGAATGACTGTATTCGGGGCAGAAGGACAAAATCTGTTAACAAAAATTTTGTACGTTTTACATCGATATTTGGTATATTTTATTCTCTTTCAATTTTGACTTTTTCAAAATACCCCTGATAGAGGCAGATTCCTTGTTTGCACCCCCCCCCTCCCCTGCTGGCCCACAAGCTTGTGTAATATCCTATTTTATTCCCACTTATCCCGTGGTATCTGCAGCATGTAGTGTATACAGGGTGTTACAGGAGGAAAGGTCAATAATCTGAGAGGCCATAGTATCTGTCCTATTCCGAACGGTTTCCGAGATAGAGATATTTCACTGCATACTTCCAGAATTTTCGACACCAAAGAGATATTACGTACTGTTTCTAATACCGGTATTTATTGTTCAAGTGACAAAGTTGGTACAGTTTACCTGGTAAAATACATTTTCGAAAATTCCACCGTCAATATCGATGCACTTTGCAACTCGTGTGAGGACATGGCGTGTTGCTGGTCTGTACAGTGTACGATAAATAGTTTTATCTGGGAAAGGATTTCGAAGGAAACTGTTGTGGACTAATCGAAGTACTATCCCGGAATTTTGCAGGAGACACTGAGGAAAGTCACGAAGAAAGGTTTGCCGGTTTTCCTGCTAATATTCGAACTTATTATGTCGCGAATACGAGTGTGGAGCTTTACCGCTACTCCACCCTGCTCGCTTTTAGTTTCGTATGCTTGTATAGACTATGCTCTGTCTAAAACATCTTTGATGGTGTATCATGCCTTAAGTAGGCAATTTTATGTAAAAAAGAAAAAGCCCTGTGTGTTCAGTGGGCCCTCTGGTATGGTGATTTTGGTTCACATCGTCTGTTGAAAATAGAATCTAGTAATTTTACAACGATGACGTAACGATCTACGTCATTACCTAATGATGACGCACCCTCGAAGATATTTTTGACGGAGAATATATATTACGCCCTTAATTTTACCAGCCTCAGTGGAAGGTGTAAGATATCTGTGTGGACGGTGATAAATATTCATTGTATGTATATATGCCTTATGAATTAATGAAAACGTATTACCATATTAAAAGCTAAACTTATGAAAGAAACTGCTACATAATTCTGCGGACTAGAAGCACGCAAGGCAGACCTATATAGATAAAGAAGACAATGTAGTTCTGGTACAGGCAGCTCTATGAAACCGCGAATGGAGACCGAATGGAGACTTATAGCCCTTATTGAGGAGAAGCCAAATCTGCAGCTACTCAAGGATTTCCCAGCATTTTGTTGAACCCGAATATTCATTACCGTGTTCACAAGAGCCCTCCACTGGTCCCTATCCTGAGTCAGCTCAATCCAGTCCGTACAAACCAATCTTGCCTCTCTAAGATTAATTTTAATATTGTCCACCCACCCACGCCTTGGTCTTCCCAGTGGTTCTTTCCTTCTGACTTTCCCACCAATATCCTATATGCATTCCTCGTCTCCCCCATTCGTGCTACATGCCCTGCCCACCTCATCCTCCTTGCCTTGATTATTCTAATTATACTTGGAGAAGAGTACAAATTACAAAGCTCCTCATTATGCAGTTTTCTCCAACCTCCTATCACTTCATCTCTCTTCAGTCCAAATATTCTCTTGGTTATGAAAAAGATGGAACAAATGAAGAGGGTTTTCTTGCATTGATTTAGTTAAGTACAGGTCGTTATTGTAGATCTCTCCTCTGGGTTGCGTGTGACGGGAAGCAGGGTAAGAAATAGTGAGGCAGCGGTTTCTTCTGCATTGTGGTAGACAGGATGACGCACTGCAACTAAAGCCCTTTTAAACCCATACACACACACACTACAATTCTTGTATCATTAGTGGACTCTACCAGATCCACTGCAGACCATGCAAAAGAAAACAGGGAATTCTGAAAGACAATGCGGAAAAGTATCGTAATGCTACGAGAGAAACCTTATTTCTGAGGAGAAGAATATCACTTGTAGTGGTAAAAGACGATGCTCATAAAGCAATAGTAAGAGAGGTAATAAAGAATAGTAGAAGAGTCGGTGAAAAGAAAAGTCATGGGAGGTTCCTAAGCTGCTCTCGTTCGTCCTTCTGATGCAGGCAGTGTGCAAGTGATTACATTAGAATGCTTAGTAGTAATGGCTTGAGACAAAGCGCGCGGAATTTTCATTTTCTGAGCTGTTATTGAATTATGTAGTTCGGAAGAATGATTTGATGTCATCTAAAGTTATGGGGCTATGGGGGCCTGTATAGAAAGCAGGCACCAACGTCTTGTAAGTTTGTAACCATCTCAGTATTTGCTCAAAGATAGAGGAAAACTAAGAAACTCCGTGTCGAGATGGCCTATCGCAGGACCTACCAGACACGCACTGGCTTCTAGCCAGCAGTCCGCCATTTTGTGAAGAATAGTCTTGTCTAAATTGACTGCAGAGCAGAATGTGGTTAGCGTTTATCTTTCGGTATATTCTACTTGTTAACGCGGTGGGAAGGTTTGCGTGCTGACAGCTGTGGGGGCGTTCGCTCCTGGTAAGGTCACCCAAGCTAAGCAGATCGAAGGGTAGGAACCAGAACGAAAATAGCCCATAATCCTCTAGGTTGGGGGTTGGGCGTGAGGTTCAAAACCTCATCTCGAAAATCAATGTCGAGAAGTGTAATAGAGATGTAAGAACTGGCTCACGAAAGATAGATACAGAGTGCAAATAAGAGAATAGAGTTATTTTACGCAAAGGAGGCCAAGGTTCTCAGAGGGCCGTAGAACCAAGGAAGAAGCAAAATATTATTACTGTTATCTTGATTTTATGGTCTCTGCCGAAGTTTCATGTAATTACATCTCATTTAATAACTTAAATTCATAACATTTAAAACTTATTTTCCACAGTTATACAGTGTTTGAGGTGAGCTGTTCACTGTGAAGATGAAGACTGCTGCCTTCTAGTATATGACGCCGTGTACCTTGGTAAACCGAGGAAAGGTAAAGGTAAAGCTCTCCCTTGAACAGGCCGTGGAGGCACATAGGGTTGTGAGATGTTGAGGTTCCCACATTTTCTCTAGACATTCGTCTTATAGATAGCGGCCGCCCTTTGCCTTCAGGGAGATTCCTGGTACTCATTTCTGTTAGAAGCTGAGAGGATCTCAGGGAAATAACGCTTCTGAAAGGACTAGGTAAATTGAAAAATCCCTCTCATCGATACTCGAACCCGCGGCCTTCTAGTGCCTCAACCGACTACGCTACCGCCTGCCCCGACTGTCTAGAGAAAATGTGGGAACCTCAACATCTCACAACCCTATGGGCCTCCACGGCCTGTTACAGGGATAACTTTACCTTTTAAAACCGTGTCCTCATTTCGCCAAATATACAAGTATTTAGAATGGTCGAGTCAAGGAGGGCCAGCGGGGCAGAGCATGTTATCACGCATGGGGGAGAAGAGGCATATATACAGGGTTTTGGTGGGAACGCCGGAAGGAATGAGAGCACTTGAAAGACCTAGACATCGGTGGGATAATAATATTAAAAAGGACCTTGGGGAAATAGGATGGGGATGGTATGGACTGGATTGATCTGGCTCAGGAGAGGGACCAGTGGAGAGCTTTTGAAAACACGGTAATTGACCTTTTGGTTCCATAAAATGTTGAGAAATTCTCGTGGTGTATCCTCAAGTCCATTGAGTTAGTTGACGCTGTTAGAATCTCAGGCTATATTACATCGAGTGACAGTTTTATTTAATGAATAATGGATGGAACTGATGCCTATTTTGAGATACTATTCCAAAATTTTCCTCAGATCACAGTGGTCTCGCGGTCTAGGGCATGAATTGTCTTCGCTCGTTCAAACGCTGGGATCATGGGTTCGAATCTCACCCCCTAGGCATGGATGTCTGTTTGTGTTTATTCTGCGTTTGTATTGTTCTGTGTGTAGGGGCTGATCACTCAACCAATGAGTCCTACCGACTGTGCACAGGATCAAGAAACTGAAAAAGCGGCCAAGGTCGAACAAAGGACTGTAGAGCCACAGGCAGATAGATTGAGGAAATACACGTGGAAAGTCTTACTCAGGATAGTTGGTGTCCCTGCCTAGAACAGAACCAGGCGCTTCCGAGTGAAATCTAGAAGCTTTAGTATCATTAAACACAATAAAAACCAGACAATCGCTTTCGGTGTGTAGGAAGTGACGACACAGACTGATAAAGTGGGTATTTATGCCGCCAATAAATGGATCTCTCATGGATGGCAGGCAACAAATATTGCAAGGCACCTGTCGATTGTTGTATATTTCTTCGCCAATGAAGGGGGCAGGGATAGCCGTTTCCTGCTCTCGTGCTTTAACATCTAAATTACTCCTCTACGTCTGTATCCAGGGGTAAACAAATGTTGATTCAGTTCACCTGTCAGTCAAAATTTGTTTCTGGCCGGACATTTATGCATTCATTTCAGAATAATTTGTCGTCACAAACTAAAAGTAAATTGTATAGAACAACAATTTGTTTCTGTTGCTTTTGTATGGGAATGAAACTTAGTCCCTCACATT